GTACTTTCAGTAAAAAAAAGACATTTCTCTCCACAAAATTTCCTTCTCGGCAGGGCTGGTTGGAAACCGTCCAGCTAAACAGCTTTGGTTTGCAAAATATTTTGTGAAATCACCACTATTTCCACAAACTTCCTGTGACCTCCAGTGGCTCTGGCACTTGCACTTGCTGGGCTCACGGCTCTGGGGCCGCTTCACCTCTCCTTCCTGCCCTATCCTCAGCCAGGCAAGGGCCTGCGGAGAAAGCAGAGAGGCAACCTGGTAGCTAGAAGGAGGGACGAGGAGACAGGGAATGAAGACTCCCCTCCTGCACCTTGGCTGCTCACCCTGTGAGCCAGGTGCTAAGAGGGGGGACCCTCTCCAGAGGGATCTTCCCTGACTTACCAATAAAACATATGTGAGCTGCCTCCTGATGCAGAACCTGGGTTCCTGGGTTCCGGGGTCCTGGGCCATTTTGGGGGGCAAGACGGGGGGAAGGCGGGCACGGAAGTGATAGGAGCGATACCAGCTTCGTGCCGGGCTTGCTCGGCACACGGAGGGGAGTGTGTTTTGGGCTGCAGAGGTCAGGCAGTTAATCAAGCGGGAATATGGTGACATGCCATCAAAGCACCCTGGGCTCCCCGCAAGCGAGTGCGCAGCGGCCAAGGAAGTGCATGCCAGTAAGCGAAAGCGAGGGAGACATGGGCCTGCCCAAGGGGCATGTAAAAATACAGACATTTGGCGTGTGGCACCTTGGAAAGGGCTGGTGTCCTCCTCTCGGGAGGCTGTTTATCTGCCTTGCCAGGAAGCGGCGAGTGTGCCAAAGAGGGTCCTCAAAAGCACCTCAAAATGGCCACCTGCCGCAGCGGGCCTGTGAGGCAGGAGCCCAGCACGGGCCGCCAGACCGGCGTGAACCCTGCCCTGTGCACACTTGGAGCTCTACTAACCCATGGCCTGTTACGATGATTTAAAGGGGGAAATACTAAAATTTGGGGCAGGATACAGTTGCAGTAAGAGCAAAGCCGGTTTAATTCCATGTGCTTCAGCATCGCCCTTGACTCCCCTACTGTGTTTCACTGCTTCATGGGAACCCAGATAAACGTGGGCTGTTTTTGGTGGAACAAGATTCTGATAGCAAAGACCTTGAAATGTCTCTTAAACAAAGCGCGTTGCACCTGGAAGAAGACAAAAGGCTGGCTGGCAACAAAATAACCTCACAGTCTCTACATTTCTTACTAATTCAAAGAGTTGGTCTTTAAATGATCTCTGTTATTTTGCTGTAGGTGCTAATTCTACTGCTTAGGTTAAAGATCTGTCAGCAATTTTATTACAGACTCTTGTTTCCAGGGATTTTAGACTTGGTCATAAAAACGTGGCCCCTGCTGAAACTTAGCATATAAGGTTACCAAAAAAAAAAAAAAAAAAAAAGACCCGAGTGAGCAAGCTCAGACATTTTTAAGGCTATGAAAGTGTAAACAGAAACAGAAGCATGTAGTGATTATAATGATTGTTTTCCCAACACAGGAAATATAGCTTAATTGTACTTTTCTAACCTATGAATAATAAATTATCAATTGGAAACATGATGTTACTCAACTCTTTGCATTTTTGTAAGATATTCCTAACCCTACCAATTAGAAATTATTTACAGTATTTAGGGAGTCTGCATTACTACCTCACCAGGAGTATCTCCTTGGACTGATTATTTACACATTTAAAATATTCCTATTTGCCCTGAAAAAAAGTGCTATATGAAAACCATATAAATGGACATTTGTAAAATGCCTGAATTATGGATCTACCTGCTAATTATGGATCTACCTGCTGTGGTTAACACTAACCATTCTGAAGTCACAAAGGATATATTTACTTTCTGGTTGAGACTGGTATTAGGAGAAACTCAACCATGACATACAGATACATGTATATTTATATTTTACATCTCCTTCTCTCTCTATACATATTTATAAAAATACTCATCAAAGGTCCTAACCAAACTTTCATAAATAACAGTTCAAAGCATAGCTCTATTTTCTTCCCCTGTCTGAGAAAAGGCAGGAGTGAGTTAAGGTTGAAGTGTTAGCTGGGTTTTGAACTTTAACTGAATTTCCATACTCCTGTGAGCGGAGGTCAAATCCTTTGACATTGTATGCTTGCACAAAGTACTTGCACAAAGTAATCTTTCAACTTAAAACATGTGTGAGGTGGTACAAGCTTTTTCTCCCCTTCTGTTCCCCTTTTGTCTGTGAATTGGTTATGGTTAGAGTTTTTAAATGAACAGGTGTACTTTATCCCTCCTTGTGATATGAAAGAAGCATAAAACTCGATTATAGAAATTTATGGTCTCTTAACTTGCTTAGACTTGTATCCATGACACAAGCAGCTTTATGTTCAAATTCAAAACCTGGTAAAATAGGAAGTTAAAATTAACCTCAATCCTTTTATAGATGAAAACCTCAACAAATAAACCGTGGTTTAGTGGCATGGCAACCTGCCCCTTTAAATCCAAGAACTAGTCTGAGATGTCTATTTTGAGCTAGTTTTGTTTTTTAAAAAAGGATAATTAGACTTGGATGAAGAGAGGAGTAGCCTGTGATTCATACTGGTTTGAGTTAAAGCAAAGTTTAATGCTAGTGTTTAGAAGCTAGCAATGTGTGCCTTTTTTTGCCTTCTGTCTATAAAAAAGGCACCCTGTGCTCTCTTCAGTGATAGTGGTTTAATAAAAGTGTTTCACCATGCAAATAAGTATACATGTCAGTACAGCAATGCTACAGAATATGTCAGAAGCATTTCATTTTGGGGGCCTGCATTCTGAAAAGTAATGATGTTAATGAAAAGTAATGATGTAAAGTTAAAAAATGAAAATATCCTGACTCGCTAGAGATCAACCCCCTGAGGTGATGATCACTGAGGAGAATGCTTAGGTACCAATCATAGCCATTTTACCCTGCTCTGATGATGTAATCTAAGAAGATGTGTTCAGTAAATTAAAAAGCAACTGTAGCAGAAAAAAAAATCCTAAATGAGTAACTTCAGTCCTAGTCTGGTAGTGACTGCAAGCCTCAACAAGTTGCTCAGACTGTCACTGGGCTGCTGTGTGAATTTCACAGGCAAAGGAAAAGCAGAACACAAAGAAAGCAGTCTGATAATTTAAAAAGAGAGTATCAAGAAGGAAACATTGGCAGTTCAATTGCTATCATTTTCTGAGCTAGGTTCACAGGTGAAGTGCATTCAAACCCTGTTTGCAAAATGCGAAGCAGAGCAACGTACTGAATATATTTCTGGAGAGAGCAGCTGAATCTCTAGATGAGCGCGGAAGGCC